TGCGATAAGCTATTAAAGTAAATTTTCCGGTTCCCGCCTACCCCTGGTATTTGCTCGTTGATGTGCATTTGTGTATGCTTATGAAATCTGCTGTCGCGAGTATATTTAATTTTGACCAGAGCCGTTCGAAATGCAACTTTTTAATCATGTACTAATTCTCCATCAACCTAATATTCATAAAATCAGTGAATGTTATTTTATTTGTTACTATTTGCTTATGCTTGTGGCTTATTTGTGTGTGCATATCCTACGGATACAATCTATCATACCTTTTTACTTTCTTGGTGGTTAACTTCAACTTCTTCAGGTTATCGAGCAGTTGTTTAAATCACAAATCCAGAGGAGTTCTGTGAAAATTTTAACGTCACATGAACAAGCAAGCAAGTGGTGTAAAAAGTCATAGCTGTCGCCAGCAAAACATTTTTCTGGTGGCATGCTCATCATGACCAAGTTGTTTATCTGCACAGAGAACGTCCTCACAGGATATAAAAGTGGCGAGGACTGCTAAATAGCAGAAGTTCCTTCTGCATAAACCAAGTGTGCGGCCCGTGGTTCTTCTTGGCTTCTCTATCCAATTCTTTGCTTGATTTTAGCATGAGCATTGCTGTTGAGCACAATAAGGTGTGGGATTGGCCTCTCCAAGCCAATGACGAATTTGTCAATGTCGTGGAAGACTCAAAGCATTTTGAAGTTGATCTAGATGCAAAGTACTTTTCACCAAAAGAAATTAAGGTTATTCTCGTACACAATGCTTCTTAAATTCTCTTTCATCGTTGATACTTTAGGTGAAAACCATGGGTGACCTGCTGCAGATTCAGATGGAACATGATGATAATAGTAATACGAATATAAGTAGAACTATTTTAAGGTAAGTAATTGATCATTGAGAATGTTAAGTTACCAATGTGAAACAAGTTTCTTAGGATAAAGGGCTAGAGAAGCACATTTAATCCCTTTAGTTTCTTCTGGGGGTTTCGATCTTGGTCAAGTAGAAGAATTTGCTAGATACGCAACAAGTAAGAAAATGAAGTAATCTTTTTGCAGATGTTATAAGCTGCCAGTAGGAGTCGATGTTCAGAGTTTGAAGAGCAATCTCACTAACAAGGGTATTCTGCACATTTCTGGAAAGAAATTCTAAAAAATTCAGTGGAGGCTTGAGTCTGTACATATTGTATACTCATACTTGTGATAGTTCACTTTTCTACATATGTTCTATATCTTTAGAATTCGTTGCTTATATTTGATTTTACAATGTAGAAATTCAGAAATTTAGATTTTGTAAACATGCTCATAATAAATCAGCAGATTAGTTTGAAATTCATATTTCTAAAGTATTTTTACAACCCTTAAAACAATGCTTTTTTTCGAATTTGGAAATTCTCGTTACATTTCATGTTATTTCATTGGTACGCTCAAGGCGTTCCAGAACAATAACAAAATGATGTTAGTCATACAATCTAATACAAGGTGTCCCAAAAGTATGTATGCACTGTTTGC